CACTTGAACATTCTCAAGCTTCAAATGGGAATCCATAGGTTATTTGAGTAATAATTTCTATAATTAGATTTTTGGTAGGATGTTAGTTAATAAGTACCTTTTTTTCATAGTTGCATAATCTTTAGCTTATGGACTTCTGAAATATAGTTACGAATACATTAGTTGCAAGCATATGACATTTTAATCTTTTATGTTGACACCACAATAGCCAGTAGTTTATCTTAAAAAAATACTAAATCTCTTATGAGTTTCAAACAACACATTCAACATACTATTCAAACAGCATCATCATCTTCAGCCAGAATAACTTTTAAACTCTGCTTTCTCTAGAACAACTTCTCAACTAGTCTTCCCAACAACAATAACTGAGCCAAACAAAACCATAGTTATCTCCCATACATATCATAACTCAATTGCATCAAGAATCAAAAGGGTCTAATCCTATAATATCTAAGTAGTATTTGATCATCAATCATTTACTAATTGATAGTTAAATAGTTTTGTTGCAGTAAAATTGAATAATAACTATCAACATAGACTTACAAATCAATTATTATCCTAAAAATAATAGTAATCTCTCCAATCTAAATTAAGACCTTTAGCACGGGATATTGCAATATACTTCAACACATCTTACCAAGCACACTTTGATAAAACTTAGCTCATAGAATGTAGCTAAGAACGCTATGAAATGCAAATCATAACCCCATTATGAGACATGGTGCATTTAGACAAGAAATTTGCTCAAAGGGTCATTTGGCTAGTTCTGAATAGAGAACATGCATAGAAAACTGATGATTTTGATATCGCTCATTTAATGGTGACAAACTGATTACATTTAAGAGAGTTTTGAGATGTTAATAGAGCTTAAAAAATGATAATCTCTAAATTTATCCATCTAAATGATGGATTTAACACAGTTTTTAAAAATCATTTTCTAACATAAAGAAAAGAAATGGGACCTGAGAACGTTAACATATAATGACGAGATACCCAGCATGTTTATATAAACTTCATCAATCATCAGCGAATGACACTAAATTGAAAGCCATTTCAACAACCAGCTAGTTTTATACGAGTAAATAAAAAGGATTATCCATCTGCCACAAGATGCCATCAACTAGTTAACTATCCCAACTATCAACATGTTGATAAAAATCCTAACATGCTGTGAAAATTCTGTTCGCCAGGAGGTGCATAATATATCTTCTTATTTTCTTCTTCTTCATATAAAATCATTTTGTTAAAGAATAAATGGGATCACAACATCAATAGCCTAAGAAACCCATTAAAATCACAAGGATACAAAAATATAATCTTTTAGAACTACACAGTTAAGCGTGCTTGGGCGAGACTAGTACTAAGATGGATGACCTCCTGGGAAGTCCTTGTGTTGCACCCTTAAAAAAAATTACTATCATTGTCAAGCCTCAAATCTTGAATGAGAAAAGTTATGGGTTGTGTTTATTAGTCGACAGCCGGCATAAAACTTGTCGAATAATCATGATATAAATCTTTTAATACATTGTGTTAATGCTAGAGCGTTCCCTGGAAGCGACGCGCTATATGGCTTGAATACAGCAACAAGTGTGCAAGGGCCGCTACACCAGCGCCCGGGTGCAGTTTTAAATAAGCAAGAGTTCCCACATCAAAGATGAATGTGAGAAAAGAAGATAGTCCACGAAACTAAAATAATAATAAGAATTTGAAATTTAAGTTCCCTTACAGGCAAATTAATAGAATTAATAGATATTATGATACATAAGAAGATAAATATTCAATGCATTTAAGAAACTAAGGCTTTGTTTGAGATGACCTTTTTACTGCTTTATAAAATAACTCTTTAGTACAAAAAATTTTTAACTAAAAATTTTTGTACTAGAAAGTTATTTTAGAAAACACTAAGAAAGTAGCCCCAAATGAAGCCTAAATGAGTTGAAGAGAATGCTAAGGAGATTAATAGTTTAGGACTTAAAATATGGTATTCTAGTCGGACTCGTACTAGAAATGCTGTAGGAGTGATTATAGATAAGAGTTTAAAAGAAAATATTATAAAAATTAATAGAATTTAAGATAAAATTTTAGCTTTAAATATTATTGTTGATGCTAAGATTATTAATATTACAAATTTTTATGCTCCTCAAGTAGGTTTAGATATGTGCTCAAAATTAAAATTTTGAAATAACTCAGAAGAATTAATACAAAAGATACATTTTGAAGAAAAGAATATTATTAGATGAGATTTAAATGGACATGTTGGTAGGTAGATGACTTTAAAAGCATTCATGATGGTTATGGGTTTGGAGCGACTAATGAAGGTAGTAAGACCATACTAGATTTTTTTTTTAGCATATGATTTTATAATTGCTAATATCTTATTTAAGAAAAGAGATAAGCTTCTCATCACTTATAAGAATGAATATAATAAAACTCATATTGATTATTTTCTTATAAGAAAATAGATCATTTAGATTGAAAAGATTATAAAATTATTCCAAGTGAAAGTTTATGTACCCAACATCGCTTATTAATTTTGGACTTTTAAGATAAAGGGAATAAAATAAAAAATAAATAAAATGTTATTCTATGATTAGATGGAGGTTTAAAAAAAATTTGAGAGTAAGATGCTAGTTCTTCAGAATTTGTTTGTGCATAAGTTAATATTAGGTGAAAAAAAAATAACTAGTGATATTAAGAATGTTGCAAAAGATATGCTTTGAGTATCAAAAGAAAAAGCTCATAATAATAAAAAAGTTAGTGGTGGAATCAAAATGTGCAAGAAAAAATAAAAAATAAGAAGATTTGCTATAAAAATTAATTTAAATATAAAATTTCTAATAATTGAAAATGATATAAAGAGGCCTATGAGGAGTCTAAAAAAGCAATATGTGATGAAAAGATTTTAACTTTTAATAAATTATATAATAGATTAGATACTAAAGAGAGAGAAATATATATGAATAAGTTAACCAAACAAAGATATATGAGTAGTAAGAATTTAGTTCAAGTGAAGTGTATTAAGGATGAAGTTCAAAAAGTGTTTTTATTAGAAGAGGATATTCAACAAAGGTGAACGAGATATTTTTTTAAATTTCTCAATGAAGATTATGAGAATGCGATTGACTTTAGTAACCTTAGCACCCTAAATGAAAATATTTTTTTTTTTCTTTTTATCAACATTTAGTAAAACAGAAGTTAGAGAGGCTTTAAAGAAAATGAAGTGGGAAAAAGCTGTTGAACATGATGATATTCCAATAGAGGTGTGGAAATACTTAGGAGATGAAGAAAATTCTTGGCTTACTAAATATTTTAATATTATTTTGAAGACTAAAAAGATGTCAAATGAGTGGAGAATGAGTGTGTTGATTTCTATTTTTAAAAATAAATGTGATGCACAAGCTTGTACGAATTATAGAGGAATTAAGTTAATGTATCATACTTTAAAACTATGGGAGAAAGTTATTGAGCATAGGTTGAAACATGATACTAATGTTGCTCAAAATCAATTTGGATTCATGCCGGGTAGGTCTTCTATGGAAGATGTACATTTATAGAGAGGTCTGATAGAAAATTATAGAGAGATTAAGGAGGGTATACATATGACATATATTGATTTAGAGAAAGCATATGATAATGTTTCAAGAGAAGAGTTATGGAGAGTTCTAGAAAAGAAAGGGGTTAATAATGCTTATATTCAAGTCATTAAGGATATGTATGCATGAACTGTTACTTGTGTTCAAACACAAGGTGGTTTGATCAAGTATTTTCCTATTTCGGTTGGATTACATCAAGGATCAAGCTTAAGCACATATCTTTTTACTTTAGTCATGAATGTTCTCAATAGACATTTTCAAGAGGTTGTACCTTGGTGTATGCTTTTTGCCGATGATATTATTTTTGTTGATAAGACTATAGAGGGAGTTGAAGGTAAACTTGAATTATGAAGGTCAACCTTAAAGTCTAAAGGCTTTCGTTTGAATAGATCTAAAACTGAATATATGGAGTGTAATTTTAGTAATATAGATCTAGCAGGGGGGAGGGATTGTGACTTTGGGTGACCAAGTCATTAATAAGAGTACACTTTTCGATATCTTGGATCTATTGTTCAGAGTGATGGTAAAATAGATGGGGATATTATTAGTAGAATTCAAGTTGGATGGTTGAAGTGGAGAAATGCATTGGGATTTTTGTATGATAAAAAAGTCACCTCAAACTTTAGGAAAAATTCTATAAAATGGTGGTTAGACCTGCAATGATTTATGGTGCAAAATGTTGGACATTAAAAGAGAAGCATAATATTAATTAAGTATTGCAAAAATGAGGATGCTCAAGTGGATGAGTGGCTTTACTCTTAGAGACAGGATATGAAATGAGCATATACAAGAAAAGGTTTAAGTAACTCCAATGGAAGATAAGACTAGAGAAAGTCGCCTTAGATGGTTTGGTCACATAAAACGGCAATCTTATGATGACCTAGTTAGGAAAGTAGATACATTAGATTTGACTTATGTTAAGAAAGGTAGAGGTGGACCTAAAAAGAATTGATTATAAAATATTAGAAATGACCTTTTTTATTAGATTTAAAAGAGAATTTAACTCTTAACATGACAATGGAGAAAAAAGATTCATATAACAGACCCTACAGTGGGAAAAAGACTTAATGTTGGTGTTGTTAAAAAGAATTCAATTTTTTTTCACAAGAACTACCAAGAAAACTTCTTAGTAGTCAAACCAAAACAGTAGAATACAAGAGGAAGAATCATGCGCCAACTTGCTCTGGGCCTCAATCATGTTGAAGTGCCATAAATTCAAGCAATAGCTGTATGCAGCAATACAAATAGTAAATTGAAGTGCCACATAAACATGTTTTAAAACCCTTAAGCCAAAAACCTTTCAGTGTACATGTATGAAAGAGGGATAATATATTATTCTAAATGCATTCAAGAAAAAGAAACAATAGAAAAGAACCCATAATACTTGCACACACTTAGTAGTAGAACCTGAAATTCATTGAAAGCAACATGGAGGTTTGAATCAACATTAGTTCCATTTAATGGATTCAACTGTTGGGAGAACAAATCTGATTTATCAACAGCAAGACCTTCCAATCCTTCAACAAGTTTTGATGTAAGATGCTCTAAAGGGCGTAAACATAGAGATATAACCCTTCTATAAGTTTCGCCAGTCTCTTCAAAAAAAGCAGCACGCCATGGTTCAACATTATTTTCAGATACCATGCATAAATCAAGATATGCAAGATATTTTAAAAGAGATCTAGGGCTGCTTTGTTCCAGCGCTTCAAGCAGCTCTTCACTTGGATTTGTTTCTACAGCAGCTGATCCTCGAGATGGTGCAAAATGGCATCTCCTTGTATGCACAACCTTCAATAAATTGGGGAATGTCTTCTTTTCAGTATATGTGATTCTACAATAATCCAGATATAATATGTGCTAATAAGCAAGAGCGAAGTTCAAATGTAAGCATAAGTAAATCTACATTTGCTACAATCTGAACGGAAGGCTCCTACTATTCCAAATGAATCAAAATGAAAAGTCACTAGATTTATAATACACATTGGGAAATGAAGCAGGTATTAGCTTACCAGAAGTAAGTGCGTACTTAGCTCCCAAGTGAATGAAATTACAGAGACTCCAGTATATAAATTAGCCAGGTAAAGGATAAATGGTCCTATTGATCTCCTGCTCCTGAACTGGTCTGGCACAAAGAGCGTCACTAGCAAGGAAGGAATTAATGCCAGAGTTGATAGTTTAAGGGCCTCCCTAAGAGATGAATAAAGACCCATTTTCAAGCTGTAGAAAAACGGACGCTGCAGCGTAAAACATAAGCATTTAATGAAGATAAAAGCATGAAAAATATCACAACTACAATAGTGTCATATAAGAAACAATCAGGTATTCACATAAGGGTAAAAATAATGTCACTAGCTATAATCACCTAGAAATGTTAAGAGAAGTAGCATTATCTCTAAAATAAGCAAGAAAAATATATTTATAACCCTACATGAAAGAGGTGTATTCGGCAATCACTAACTCAAATTGCTTATGAAAGGTATGATATGCATGTTTTTTTATCTGGAAAAAGACTGGCAAAGGCATCAAATGAAGAAAAAGAATTACAAAACTGAAGCATGTAAATGCTGAACTAAGAATACTATCAAAGCAATTTTCATATCATGAGGCTTACCAGAAAACACTTGCATTACAACAAATACCTTACGTCATCAAAATGGAGCATAACAAAAAAATAACAGAATATTTAAACTTTCCCGGTGATGAAGATACTGTTTACAAACTGGCCAAAGATGCTAGTCCAACAGAATCAACAGGTTGGACTGGAAACCAAAAAAAGACATGAATGAAAGAATAAAAAAGTAGATTCAGTGTAATGTAGAATAGCCACAAATACAAGCTCACCCAACAGCATACTTCACAAAATATTAGCAAGTAAATGAGATTTTCCCACAATGGCCGTCTTTAGTATCCCCTGATTCCGTATATATGTGCTATATATGAAAAATGAATCATCCTCTGTAGAGGATGAGCTTTTATTTCACTTAAATTAGATATCTCAACTAAATAACTGATCAAAAGAAGAACAAGCGCAAAAACATCTCGGTCTCAGAGTATTATAGGAAATGCCAAAAACCCTACGGCCAATCAGAGGAAGAAAAATAATATAACAATAAAAACGGCGATAATTGACCAATGTAAGTAAAACGAGGTCCGACGAAGCTCTAGGACACCTGAATGACTGGAAATGTTAAGATCCACCTCTTATGGTAGAGGTAATGAACACCGTATACCAATCCAAACATCGCACCGTTGATTCCCAATCCAACCAACTTCATTCCACCACCGGGCTCTGCTCTTCCGCACAGCGCAGCCGTCGATAAAAACCCAGATAGCACACAGATAAATAAGAAGAAACACTTAGAAAGAGTTCTATAGACGCGGTGGCGAAAATCGGCGGAATAATCGCCATTGGTTGTGCCTCCGATGACAGCGCGGAGGCAAGCCCTAAGGAGGCCAGCGACTAGGTCAGCGATAGAGGCGGAGGGTTCAGGGCAGGGAGAGGACAGTAAGAAGAGGGAGAGTGAGAGAAGATGGAGCGAGAGACTGAAGGCAAGGAAGGAGAGAACGCTGGCAGCAGGGATGCGGCCGGGAAAAGGGAAAAAGATGGATAAAAGGAGATAGACGACGGTAGAGGCGACCTCCTGCCAGATGAGAAACCCAAGCCATCGTTTCTTAACAACTACATGAGCGGAGGATGCGGAGGATGCGGACGACATTTACGTATCGAGAAAGGGTTTGGCCGGTTTGCAGGGTTGGGGTTTTAGAGGATGCAGAATTCGTTTACAACGTTATAGGGTACCGCATTTCTTCATCGTTTACTTCAATTCCAAGGAACCAAAAAAATTATATATATATATATATATACATTAAGAACGTTTTCTGTTAAGGCCATTCCTATTGCAGCGTTTTGAATTTCTGGATGACATTTGCATTTTCAATGTTGTGGAGAAGAATTTTTGTTATTTTGTTATTTGATTTGCTATCTACTTTTTGTGGAGAGAACGTAATGAGCGAAGATTCACTGGCTCGCAAATTTCACATTTTGAGCTGAGAAAGAAGGTTGCTTGGGCAATTTCCCAAAAAGTTTCGAATTGGAAATCTTTTGATATGCTCTTTGCTGCATTCCCTGCTTGTTTTAATGGAGGTGTAGAATTATCGGGAGTTACAAGACGATGATGATTGAAACTTGCTCATTGCCCTCTAGATGGCCATTATTTACAGCTCCTGCAGTTTTGCATTTTGGCCTGGCACGTTTCACCTGCACCCTGTTCTTCCTGCTTAGGCTATGGCATTTTGGCAACCAGGGTAATTTCTTCCTGTTGGCTCGGTTTCTGTTGGACAATTGAGCTTTTGCTCTAATGGTTTTGTCCAGGGTGGGTTCCAGATTGCCTGAGTCCCTCGTTCCTTTCTTATTTTTCTTGTTGTTTACTTGTTTTAGTTTTTTTCTTTTGGTTCTCTGAGGATGTATTTTTTTAGTTTTAGTTAGGGGTGTAAACGAGTCGAGTCGAGTTTAGGCCCTTATCGAGCTCGGCTCGTTAGATAGAAAGCGAGCTCGAGTCGAGCTCGACAGTCGAGCTCGAACTCGAGCTCGTGTCACTGTTAACCCGGCTCGCGAGCCGGCTTGACTTACTTACACCCCTAGTTTTAGTTTGTAGGTTGTTTTTGTAAGCCTATCAATTTTTGGTATATCAATATACGGGCAAAGCCCCAATTTTTCCCAAAAAAAAAACTTTAATTCCAAGGAATAAAAAAAATAAGGAATTTTTACATATATATAATACTTCAAATTATTATATTTATTTATCTAACATCTAAAGGATATTATTTACATACATACAATCCAAATACATATGTTTCATCTAAATTACCACTCCATCTAAACTCTGCAAATAGCCCACCCTGAATGTGCCTTTGGTGGTGTGAAATCGCTTATTCTTCGTTGCAGGACTCTTTCCAACCTTGCCTTTGCCATGCGAAAACCCAATTGAGAAGATCTCCATTCGCCTCATTCTCACTCGAACAGGTACTTAGTTTGAGCTTCTCTCTATTCGTTTCTGCGATCGAAGCTTGTGGCTAAGGTAATGATCTTCATTAGGAATGGTGTAATAGCTTGTGTAAATATTATGGTTTGAATTTTTCTTCTTAATTTTTTATTTTCATTTTGAATTTTCATTTTTTCTGGAGGTGTGTAATCGAAACAGTATAAGGTTTCGAAGGATGGTTGTTACGATGAGGATTCTTATCGGATCTTGAAGAATGGAGTTCATGAATTGAAAAAATGTTATGTTTATGTGATTATCCTTTTATTGCTTTGATGGAAGGGGATGAAATTCTAAAATCATTCAGTTCTTTGTCTACAGATCCTTTGTCTAAGATTTCTAATAAAATTTCTTTACCTAAATCTTTTAAAGAAGCTTTTAGCTGGTTGGTGTAATAGTGGAAATTAAGGTATTAATATTTTTTCTTCGTTCATTAATGGTATGCCTGATATAATTGTTTCAGAAGCCGGTTGAGGCATTGTAGATGGCTTTGGAGGTGTCTCCAATGAATACCATGCAAGGATCAGCGGTGCAAGGTTGGTATTACCCCATTGATGCGCGAAGTAAGCTTTCGCCTACAATGTGCTAAGATGCCTAACCCCTGGCATCTTTCAAGCATATTATCTCCTGAACATTTGCGTTCTGCAAATATAACACAAGCAATGATGGTGAATCTCTCGTAGTGATCGGAGATGCCCTCGAGCTCGTCCAAGCGAGAAAACACACGGCGGGAGAAGGAAGGGATTTTTTACGGGTTGTAACAGAGTGTTAGAATAGATAAAAAGTTGGGTTTAAGGTGGTATATCAATAGATATGGAATTTTGGGTGTTGAATATGTATTTGGGGTAGTTTGGAGTGTTATGTATGTAAAAATCCCAAAAAAACAAATAAGGAGCATTTACTTAATAATTTTGTATTGATGTCATAGATTTATTAAAGAGATTAATTTATTATTAGGAAATCTTGTTATAATATTTCAAAAAAATATCAAAATTTTAAATATTAATATTTTTTTTTTACTTTTAATATTCATCGAATATGTAGCTTTATATTAATTATTTAATTTTAATTATTTATGTAAAGAATTTGAGCTTGTATGCTCTATAAAATATATAATTAGATAAATATGTTCATTTTTAATTTCTTAAGAAAATATATCCAAAAAATTTTTCAATAAAAATTACTCCAACTTTTTTTCTACAAACGAATATTGTTTGAAATAATATTGTTGATATATTAATCGTAAAAGACTAAAAGTTATAAGATAATTGAAGAATAATGGAACCTATGTTCGATCCTTTCAGGAAAAATAAATTGTCATTCATGGATAAAAGCAATCAAACATTCTATTAAGTGTTCGAACATATTCAAATAAGATACTTAAAAGATATCATTCAAGAACTTTATAAAACAATTGAATCTTATTCAAATACTTAATCGAATATTTGTTCGATTATTTTATTGAAAATAATTTGATATTATCTATAAAAGGATTGAACATACGGTTGATTAATTGCTCAAATATAATTGAAAAAGGCTTTTGTAAGACAAGTGTTTCACAACAACATATTAAGTATTATTAATAACAATGACGACAATAATCCAATAACAAACAAGCATTATCAATAAGATTTTTATAAAAGAATACAATCACAATAGTTATAAAATAGTTATTCTATAAATTGAATTGTAAATTCATTTAGGCTACACAATTTATATTTGATATAACTTATTTATAAATTTATCAATATTATTTATTGGATACATACTTCTTCGTTGAAGATAACCATATCTACTAGCAAGCCAGACTTATGAGTTGGGTGAGCTTGACCTATGTTAAGTAGAAATTATGCTATTGTTTATTGTATAAAAATTCCAATAAAATTGTGTATTTTAGTTTTGATGTTGTGCAAAAAAATTTCAAGAAAAAGACAAGAAATTCCAAAGTTTATACCAGCATTGCGGCACCTTCAACGCCCTAGCGTAAGAGTAGAGCATCGTTGTGCTCAGCATTTTGTCATGTTTTGCACTTTCAACAACCACACCGCAGCTCCTTCAATGCCCTAGCGCCATCATAAAGCACTATTGCGCTCAGCATTATGTCATTTTGCACTTTCATTCAGCGCAGTTGTGCCATGTTGTCAAGCTCCACAGCACTAACAACTCCTTAAAGCCATATATGGAATGTCGGTGCGCCTTGAGTTCTGTCATTTTGGGAAGAGACAAATTCCACATTCCTAGTGGAACTAAACATAGAGCACTAAGGTGCTAGGTCATTATTGTAACATTGTTGCACCACCCTTTCGAGCATCATGGCATCTGAATCAACTTATGAATCATAAGCATAAATAATTTTTTTTCGTTTTATGAGCTGGTCAGTTATAAGGTTAGTTGTTGGTCATATTTTATCTATACAAAACAGGAAATTAGTGGGATTTTGGAGTTGAGAGTGAACATGCTTAAGGGAATTCAATATAGGAAGCATTAATTGTTTGGAATTATTTGTAAAATGTTGTCCTGATTATATTTTCTCTGCCTAAACTCTTATAACTTTTTATGATGTTTGTAATTGAATATGTTTTAAGGGAAATCATTTATGTGCCTTGCTAATTGTCTTATTTTGGGCTTCTAATGTGAATGAACCAATTTTTTTCTTTACTAGGCTATATTTCATGAGCTATTTTATTATTGTTTCCAATCTCTCCTACTCTTAATTTAATTCATGTAATGGCCATGTTTGAAGTTAACACCTAGTGCGATTCATTTCCTTGATGGTAAAATGATGGAACAAATAAAAGGATTGGAATATAAAACTTTCATACCTATATATAGGATGAATAAGATGCTAGAATCTATGGAAATAAAATCATAGTAGTAAGGTGGACGTACTTTGTACCCTTACAAGCTTGATAGAGATCTAAAAGTGTATATTCTCTTATTCATAGCAAACCTTATAAGATTATACTTAGGAAAAAACTATAGCAATCATATTCATAAGTTCAAAACATTTTTTTCTAATTAATTTAGCATTTAGTAGTAGATCATAGAATATCACCTTCCTTTTGATTCAGTAGGACAACTTTGCTGCTTGAGTAAACAATATTAAGGGTATTCATAGGATGCATGTTTACCTCATGGGATCAACACTCTTACCATTCACTTTATTACTTGATCGATAAGTGCACTTATGTAGTAACAAATACACAAACTTGCAATCAAGTTTTTGGCCTCGTTGCTTGAAACATTTTTGTATCTTGTTTATTTATCTATATTGTTAAAAACATTAGAAAATTTAATCTTGCCTTTGTTTTTATATTTATTTTATTTAGTTGACATTGTTACCTTTTATTTTACTCATTTGTGTTAGTGTTTGGAATTATTGTGAATTTATGTTTGCTTGCATTTAAAAGTTCTATAGTTGATTGAGAAAATAATTGAACTATGAAATGGTAAATCAAAGGGGGGTGGTGTTTTAAAAAGTTTTTTAAAATCCTTTTAAATTGAAATAACCAACCAAATTCATAATATTTAAAGTTGAAGTAAATAACAAAATGAATATAAACTTTTGTTTTTTATTTTATAAAAAAGCCAATAACAAATTTTTTTTGTCCTTTTTTCTTTTCTAATTTTTTTCTTTTACTTTTAAAATAAAGATCAAATCAAATCAACCAAGATGATTTTTATATTACAATAACAACCAAACTCAACTAAATTACAAAATTTAAAACATGCAGGAAAGAAAGATATACAAAAAGTAAATGTAAAAAATAAAAGAACACAAACTAAATTTTATGATG